AGGCATGAAACTATTCTACATTGAATATATCTGTATTTACAGATAGCATCTGTGGTGTAGATTATTTTGTACAATGCTAAGACTGTGGAATTTTAGATTTTTGCCATGATAGAAAATATCTTCCCCTTGTTCAAACACTGTCTGGGTCCTTGTGGTTGGTTGGCTCGCCGAGCTGGTTCGTTGTTCCGCAGACGTCTCATTACCCTGCTGGGTAACATTATCAGTGCAGCCTCCTGTCTGGGTCCGTTGAGAGAAATAGGTCACTTTTGTTTGTGTGTCTAGTCTTGAAGGAGAGGCCCTGTTGGCATTCTACAGGTGTTTGTAGCTGCTTGTTTGAGGCTGGAAGAGCCTGGATGCTGATTGGCCTCCTGTGTGTGCGTCCAAGATATGGAGGGTATTAATTCCAAAGGCCAGCTCTGGTCCTTTGTGGAACTATTGGGTTTTAGATCTGCCAGATGGGATGTGTGTCTTATTAGAATTGATGTGATTTGCTTGTTCTTATGTGAAATGTTGAAAGTGCTATATAAATGCAGACTATTGGTGTGGATCCATGGGAATGAAACAAAATACAGGTGGGGAGCATGCTCTTGGCACCAGCTACTCCTGGCAATGGAAATGATAAAACAAAATCTGAAAAAGTAGATTGTGTTCTGGGATGTTTCAGAGGAAGATTGTAAAATTGTTATGTAAAACATCTGGGACTAATTCTTCCTCTCCTCCATACACTTGGGACAATAACAGAACAATCCAGGTACTGATAAAACACTCTTAACACTTTCACTTTCAATCTGAGTACCAGTGGAGTTTCACAATTCTCTCTTGTTTCCTAAATCTTCCTCCAGTAATGTACTGAACCCTCAAAGAATCTACCCTGCACCCACCAGTTAACTACTGCTTCAGTGGCCCCAGCTGAGCAAGACTTTTCAGTCTTTCTGCTGTTTTGGCCCTATCTTGGGTAGTACCAAACTGACCAGTGTTCACCTCTGAAACATCAATACATTCATCCTCTGTGTCAACTCCTCTGTTGCTGTGACCCTCTTTCAGACTCAGCTGTTCAACTGGACTTTTGGCCATCCTCCAGCTCAGTCAAAACTTTGCTGCTCATATCCTAACCTGTGAGCAACCAGTTCCCCGAGCACCCTGTGCTCACTCAATTGCATTGATTCTTGCAATCATCTTACTTTTTAAAATTCTCATCCGTATTTTCATATCCCACCATGGCCTTGTCCCTCCCTATCTCTGGAAACCTCCTCCAGTCCCCCACTCTGGCAGATTTCTATCTGACTGCAGCTAATGCACGTTCCTGATTTCCTTCGCTTCTCTATCGGTGACTGTTTGTTTCAGCCTGGGTCCTGACTTTTGGAATTCACATGCACAGGTGCACACACACTTTCTCCTCCTTTTACATTGCTGTTTAAAATCAAACCTCTGAAAGTCACTCTGTTCGCATCAGCATTGATTGTTTTGTCAGATTCCACCTCTTGAAATGTGTGGGGACATTTGCATTTTTTAGCATCCTTACTGTAGGGAAATTGGGATAAACAAAATGATTGCATAGGAGGATGACGATGTTATTATCACTTTTGTTGCTGGTAGTGATTTCTTGTGCTGCTGCTTCCTGAAATCGTAATGTGGAAAAACCCTTATTCAGTCCTCTGGGGTGTGGTCAGAAATATCCAAACCTGATTCAAAGACACAGTGTGACTGCTAATCCCTGGGCAGTTCTGACTGGGACTGGTTCCAGCAGAAGGGGAATGGAACCTTTTCGTGAAGACCTTTATTGTTTGTCAGCAATGCATACAACACTGTAAGAAACTATCTGTCATCGTGCAGGGCCCGTTTCTCTGCCTCAGTCACTGTTCCTGCCCTAGATAATAAGGCTAGTTTTATCTGTCAACATTGGGTGAAGATTAGCATTTTCGGTTAATACTAAGCTACTAAAATGTCAGCACCAAACGTGAACCATTTATTACCAAAGAAGCTTGATGTATTGCACTTGAAACCATCTAACCTCAGCCTCCACCAATCCCTGTTAATGAAGACTCCTCCCAAGCCTGTGACAAGCCATGAGGTGCTGACTTTGTTTCTGTTATTCAAAGAAACACAAGATGGGATCAGGAGGAGGCCATTTGACCCTCCAAGCCTGATCTGCCATTTAATATGATCGTGGCTGATCATCCAACTCGGTCCCATTTCCCCCTTTTGTCCCCAAATCCTTTCATTTCTTTAGCCCTAAGAGCTGTATTGTCTCCTTGTTGAAAATATTCAACTGCTTTCTGTGGTATAGAATTCCACAGGCTCCCTGCTCTGGGTGAAGAAATTTCTCTTCATACGAGTCTTAAATGGTTTACCCCATATCTTTAGGCAGTGACCCCTTGTTATGGACTCCCTGGTCATAGGAAGCACCCTTCCCACATTTACCTTTCTAGCGCTGTTAGATTATTATAGGTTTCTGTGATATTTCCCCCCTCATTCTTTTAAACTCCAGTGAATTCCCTTCCTAAGGGCATCGTGGGTCAATCCGTGGCACACGGACAGCAGCATTTCAAGAAAGCATCTCACTACCATCTTCTCAAGGGACAGGCAATAAATGGTGGCCTAACTGATCCAGTCTCTGTTCATATGTTTGTCCTGCCATCCCAGGAATCAGTCTGGCATTCAGCTGCACAGAGCCAGGATCAGATTGAATTGTTGGTGTGACCTCTTTACCCCGCCGTTCTGAAACACAAGACTCCTCAGCATTCCCTCTCCCAACTCAATAAACTATCCTGTGGTGCTATTGCCTTGGCATCTATTAGGGAGTAGCAACTCTGCTCTGCCAGTGATTCTCCCTGTTAACAGATAGACAGTTCTTATCTTTTCCAGATCCTGCACCAACACAGAGCTGCTAAAGATATGGTGACCCTTAAAACCATCTACCAGGAAGAAGACGAGGCCTATAACGAACTGGTCAATGCAGCCACACAGTTTTATCAGTATTTACTACAGCCTTTTCGGGACATGAGAGAGTTTGCTTCGCTCTGTAAACAGGAAATCTTGGTAATTCAATCAGTTTGTTGTAGTTTCTTTATTATTTACCATGTTACTTTTTAAAATGAGGAATGTTTTTAGCTTATTGAAGACTGGAGCAGGGGCTTCTTTCTCAGGAAACTGGATTAACATTTAATTCAGTGGTTCTCTTCTCTTTGCTGACTTGGTTACAGGGCAATTTGAATCTCTGAAACTGTGAACCGGTTTTGGAGATGCACAGGCCTCATGCTGGATGGTTTCAGTGTGCGTGTTGTGACACGGGTGTTCACAATGGCACGATGTTGCATTCCTGGTGCATGCTTCCCAAACACTTTGCCAATGTGACCTACTTTTAATGTCTCTGATTGTATGGCCCTGCTGTAAAGGTTAGGGTGATCAGGGCTTGTTGAGGTGAGGTGGGGAGGGTGCACAAAGAAGGGTTAAATCTTGGCTGTGGAGTGGGGTTGAGGGTGGGCTTTGCTTATAGAGCGGGAACCTCACTGCTGTCAGAAATCAGTGTAGGCTCCACATCAGCTATTGCTGCCTCAGAGCTGGTGGGTGCACTGTTTTAGGAGGGTCAGTTCCCACAGTTTGGGCACCCTTGTGTTAATGCTTGTATCCTTCACTAAAAATCTCATCTCCCAAACGGCAGCCTATTATTTGGAGTGATGGTTTTGAATCCAGGTCAGACTGCCTTCTATTGCTGAAGTAGGTTGCAGCATTGACACAGCATCTGGAAATAGTGGTGTATGGGAATGTTGTATTTCACAATACAAAACTGGGTGGGTGGAGGGGTGGAACTCGCTGCCCAAGGAGTTGCAGATCATCTTCAGAAATGGAAACATTGGTGGGGGTGGGGGGTAAATCCCAAAATTTAACCCTTTATAAAATTATTGCTCTGACCAATTATTCAAAATAGTTTCTGATCATATTTTGGGGAATATTCAAGGTGGAGAGTAAGATGCTGGAAAATCCGATGCTCAAGGAGCTTTCACTTCATGTCATTGATACAAGTTCCACTCATCTTCAGCCTCAGTCACACGACTATATACACCAGCTGCCAACAACACATTCTGCACATGAGCACTCACTGCGCATTGAGATAATTTGCTCAGTGCAGTGATGCCCTCTTTCTCGTATGTGAATATGTGACTTTAGTTTGTTTTTGTATCACAGTAATGGCTCTGACTGTCAGTCCTCACCTGCTGCCTCTCTTCCCCTCCAGCACCACTGATAAATGTAATTCAAATTCCCACTCACTCCAATCTGTGACTTTATCTGGAAAAGTGACTGGCTCTTTCAACATTGCAGAAATCCTTGGAATTTGACGAGTTGGGTCCAAGGAGAATTCAAAGCCTCAAGAAAGATGATGAGGAATGGTCCATACGGGTGCAGGAAGCGGTCCGCTCAATCCAGGACATCACAGTGGATTACTTTAAAGAGACTGTGAAAGCACTGGCTGGTAATTGTGTTCAGAGCAAAGACAGCTTGAGGAGCAGCCTCTGATTTGCAGTATTAGACACTAAAGACATTCGGTTCACGTGATCTACAGGATGTGCTGTGCATGTCCCTGAGGAGGAAGGAGAGAGCCTTTGTTGATCCTGATGAGCTGAGGGGTCACATGGCCAGCAGTGGCTGATGTAGCAAGGAACATGGAGACACAGCTGTTCTGTTTATGTGCAGTTACTGTAGGAGAAATACATTATGTGCTTAGTGCAGAAACTCAGGCATACGTAGAATCCGACAGTACAGAAGAGACCCTTCAGCCCATTGAGTCTGTAGCACCAAAGCTACACTAAATCTACACGAGTCCCACTTCCCAGCAACAACATGATTAAGCTGTTGTCCATTATTTAAAAATATAATTTGTTTTATGACCTCTAAGAACAAGATAAATTGATTCCAGCAAAGGAGACAAACACATTGATGCATTAATGAGACATCTCCTGTCCAGCTGTAGATATTTTGATGGAAGAGTAGGACAGCCTGACCCCTCCATGTACCTGCTTTACAATTGCCTTATTCTCATGGGTCTGCAATACAGAGTGACTCTCCTTTGACTGATCCATCTCAGTAGTATCTGTTAATTGTGAAAAATCTGACACTAGGGAAGGGCTGGGTACTTGGTAGGGGATTTACAAATGTGTTCATGTTAAAGTGCCATTCATGCAAGTCTCTCATGTACCTGGTAGCCATGCAGAAACAGATGGAGGAAGATCAAAATCATTTTGGCAAAGCTGCCTGGGCCAGTGTAGCACCAAGACTGGAGAAACTAAAACTTATGTTTGCAAAGGAAACATTGCAACACACCAGAGCGAAAGAACTTTGTCTCAATCGCAGGAAAGTAGAGATTCAGCAGAAGGTAACGTCTGTTGTTCCATTGACTCCTTTTTCCGTGTGGGTGTGAAACCCCAACCTCCAGCCTTGTAAAATATTCTCCTTTTAATTATAGATGGAGCTTCTTGATAATCAGGAAGTGGTGGAAACAGTGGATGGGTTAGAAATGCAGTATTATGAAACACAGCTGGAACTGTACAGTATTCAGTTGGAAATGTTAAAGAATGAGGAGTTGCTCCTTTTTGCACAGTTGGACACCATTCGACGCCAGATCAAGGGTGAGCAGCACCTGGCTGGTAATCCTTGTTTACATCTTGGTTTATTCTAACTGTCTCACTTCACTATTAACAGTGAAAAGTTTGGAGATGCCCTCAAGCCTGATAGCTGCCACTAATGCTATGAACTTAATGTTAACTGTATTAGAGAAAATGTTTGGCTTTGTGTGACAGAGCAACATCCCTTATTAATAATTTGCCTATTTGCTGATTGTGGTGAATATTCTGATCACTGAGTGGGAAAACCAGTTGTTATTTTTATCCAGCAATGAGACTGGTGATTCCAATCGACTTCTGATGTTTTGAGGGAGCACTCTGTCAGGAATCAGGAACAATGTTGAGCAGATCTTTAAAATCAGCATTAACTACAGAATAGGAAACCAGGGCCTCTATGGTCCCTGGAGTATTTATTATCCCCTCTGAACACAGGCAGGGCTGTCAATTTGCTGCTCATGGACCTCGGCAGAAGTGGATTTATCTTGCACAGTGTCTGTTTGTAATGTAACCAAACCAAATCTTAACCAACCTCCCTCATTGCTCTGATTATCCATTGACAACTTCTGATTTTTATCTTTTGAAAAATTCTCTGGGCACATCGGTTGAGATCTTTTTGAGCGGTGCTGTAACATTACAGTTCAAATCCATTCAAAGTTTCTGTTGGGGTGTGTCCCTTCTGACTCCGAGCGTGGGAAAGTTGAGGAATTGTACGTGGCTTGTGAATTTGTGGGCAGCTTTCTACTTGGTACCACAGAACTCTTTCAATGAAATACCTCTTTGTCTGTCTAAAATTAAAAACAGCAAATGTTGACAATACTCCCAAGGTCTGGAAACAGGAGCAAATGTTCATTTTCTAAGATTGCATTGAATGGAATATTTGACACTTCTGGAATGTTCTGTGCCACCATGTGGAGTTGGGAAGCTTTGCAAGTGCTGAAAATGATTGTCTGACCGTCCGTGCAATTTCATCACTTGTTCACGTTTTTTTTATTTTTCAATAAATTGGTTTTGTGGTTAAAGGCTAAAGCCAAAGTTCAGTGTAGTGCCAGTTCACAGCTGCTCAGTTGTAAGGAAAGGGCTGGGTAGAATCAGTCACTAAAACCTGAATGTTCTATTATTGTCTAGTAGGGTCTGGGTGAGACTTCTAAGACCAAACAGAATTCAGAAAGAGGTGATGGTCATATGCTAATTCAGAGAAGATTGAATGAAATCTGGGAATATTTAAAGATGATGTATTGGGAATAAGTATACAGTGCATTAGAGTTTTGTGATGTGAGAGTTGACATGAAAATTTGGCTAGAAAAGCAGATACCTGAACTTCGTCTGACCAACCTTGTAGCCTCTGGTATTAACCATATTCCCCATTGTTATCCTGGTAGTTTGTGTGTCTGACAGTACTTCCAAGTGTGCAGACACTCCAGCATATAAACAGCCAGGGCTCATGACTGAGCCCATGAGAATTACTAGTTGGAAAGAGTTAAAAGATGTACAGAAAAAAGTGGGTTAAAAAATGTACTAATTTTGAGAAAGAAACATATTCTCATCAAATATTTGTCCTGCTAATAGATGGCTTTGATATTCTGAATTGCAGAAAAAGAGGAGGAAGTGGTTTATTATGACACCTGTGAAGATCCTGAGCAACTTCAGGCCAATGACAACCTGGGATTGACACATGACACTCGTTCAGTGGAAATTAAAAAAATGTGGCGCCAGGTTCACCAGTTGGAGACCAAACGGGGTCGTATTTGTGCACGCAGATCCTATCTGAGAAATAAGCGGGTAAATACTGAAATCCACTTATTAACTATCTTGTTTTGCACATTTATGCATTTTTTCAATTCTGTATTTCACAAAACACTTTCCATCTGCGAATCCCAGCAATGTTTTCACACACCACCTCCCCAGAACTGATTAATCATGATTCACCTTGCTTAGTCATGATTTAGAAAAACAAAGATCTCACAAGATGATTTGACATTCTAGACAACGTTCATTGGATTTCGTCTTCACCCACAGAATCTGTGTTCCCTGTTAATAGGATCAATGTGAGGAATCTTGGAAAGCAAAGCAGCAGCAAGAACAAGAAAACCAGAAGCGCATCCAGCAACACCACAGTATCCAGCTGGTGAGTGAAGATTGTTGTGTACGGGCTGCATGGGGAGATCTTTCAGGCTAATGCTATAAAACTGTGTTTACACAGAAACGTGACCAGAAAAAGGAAGAAGCTCGAAGGAAGAGGGAGTGGGTAAACCTAGAACGGCAAAAAACTTTACAGCGACTCCGAGCATTTAAGGAGGTAGGTATTGATGTGTTATCCTGATTTCTCATTTATTACACCTCATTGGTATGGCATATTAGAAATTGAGCCCTGTTATTCCCACAGTCGTCACAAAGTTTTGTAAAAAAATGCAAAATTCCCCAATTTACTGTTTGGGTTCAGGTTGACAGCACAGAGCCTGTACTTGACAGGAGTTGCTATTTATTATAAATACATTCTAGCTGCAGGTAAACAGGGATAACTATCAACACACGACTCTAATGCTGTGAAACCCTTTATGCAAATATGGACAGGTACTAAAGAAACAGGAGGGAAAGACTGGGAAGACAGATCGATGGTCCCTGTCCACACGTTTCACTGAAATGAGTCTTTTCCTTTACCAGCACTTGCTGCTCCTTTTTTTTTTTTTCCCTTTAGGTGCGTTTGCTTGCTTGCCCAGGGCGACTGGCTCACGTTTTCAAAATCACTGACCAATTGGTTAAAAGCCGCCACTTACAGAAACTAACCTGAGAAAATAACCTCAAACCTGACAACCCAGTTTTTTTTAAACTGCAAAGAAAGGTCAGTTTTCTTTTCAGGCGTCCAGTGGGTTCTCACCAAACATTCCTTGCCCTGAGCTGTTCAGTTCCCTGTGAGCCAATCACGTAGCTATTAACAGGCAAAGGGGCCTTTGTCATCGACAGCTGATCACTCCAAAGACCAATCAGATACCTGCTACCAGCAAAAATCTCCTTTTGTACACGGCCCCAAGTTTCAGCTTGTCTGTAATAATCCTCCTGTCTGTTTGGACAAACAACTGTGTAAACAGGACTGACAATAGGTGTCTTATTTCTAAAAAGTGCACCGATCCTTTCCGCAGTTTTTGGTTCTGAAACAGCCTTTTCCTATTTCAGTCTAGAATCAAAGTACAGGAAAAACATATGCTTTTACATGTTGTTAATCCAAGTTTTCAGAGCTTGGGGCTGCTTTGTAACATGGTGCTGGGTTACATGCTTGCACCATTCTATCTTTATTCATTAATGGGATGTGGATGTCTTTGGCCAGGCCAGTATTTATTGCCCATCCCTAATAGCCCAGAAGGCATTTGAGAATCCACCGCATTGTTGCAGATCTGGAGTCACATGTAGGCCAGACTGGGTAAGGATGGCAGATTTCCTTTCCTAAAGGATACTAGTGAGCTTGATGGGTTGGAGCATCGCTAAGGAGAACTTGGAGATGATTTAGTCCACTAAGCTGCTTTTTAAATGTAAACTCCTCCTGACACATTACTTTGTAAGTATTGCCTCTGGTTATTTGCTTTGTGCTGATTGCGTCCTGCAGGGTTGAAATGATCAATTTTCAGCACTAGGGACACTGTAATGAACTGGAAATTATTTCTCTAACATTAGATCCATTGCTGTTTGTGATGAAATCCTACAGAAGATGGAAACTCCAGTCACTCAGCTCTTATCATTACAGACTGTGTTTTATATGGTTGAAAATCTTTGATTTTAAATTTTAAAAATTCTGTTTCAGAAATCATCAGCACACTTTGTATTTCAACCTCGTTGCCAAACCCTTGGGGTGCAGAGACAATTCACACCTTCTCCTGCAGCACCTACCGTGTCTGATCAGCCAATGTCCCTCATGGATCACTCCTCCAGAAAGAAACCTACGTCAGCCAGAACTTCAAAAGCAGCCAGGAGCAGCCTTCCAGCTCCCAACGATATTCCAGTACAAATCTTCCTGCCACCAGGACAGGCAGTATCTCCTACAACACTCCCGCCGCCACTTCCTCCTCCCCCGCCTCCCCCTCCACCTCCCCCACCGCTGCCTCCTCCACTGCCTGCCCCTTGTGCTTTGCTGGGTCACAAAAGCACTTCAACACATGACGACCAGGGTCGACCACTCCTAACCTCGGCAGAGAATTCACTGAAGAAATCCCTGAAGGAAAACATAGGTAAAGAGATTACAGTCTTTAATCACCTCCATATAAAAACCCATGAATAGTTTAAAATCCATGTTTAGGTTGTTTTTAGTTTTGAATTTGGCCAACGCAAATCTTGAGAAAAACTGTTGCTTGTTTGAGCATTTGTGAGCAGCCAGATGTTGAGTAGAAATCTAACTATCCTCTCCCTCTTCCCCCTCCCCCATGTCCGTACAGGAACTATGGATGATGTATTAGCTTCTTTGAAGCGTGGTGAAATTTTGCTTCGAAAAGTAGATCGGACAAAGCCGCAATCTCTCGACAAGTCCGAGGACCTGCGACAAAACCTGTTGGCTACAATTCGACAAGGCATCCGTTTGCGAAAGGTCACAGTAGGAGGTAACCTCCCTGTGAGCACTGATCCAGCCAATGAGTTGGAGCGTAGCATTAAAGCAGCCATGAAGCGAATGAAAAAAGTGTCCCCGGAATCTGATGAAGAAGCAGATGATGGCAATCAGTCTGAAGAATGGGACACCTGAATGCGTGCTTTCTCCACACTTGCTCTGCAATTTGAATATCTGTCACTAAATTTGTTTCAATCTGTCTGCAGGAATTGACAGGAAATAATTGGTATCAAAAACAAAATGAAGATTTGAGAAGTTAAACCACCAACTCAATTCTGTGCCAAGTTATCGGATGAATGGCTAGGTGCACTTCACCAAAGAATTTCCTGAAATTCAAATGTCAAGTATAAGGATTTATTTATAACTTTGCAGTTTCCAAATTCCGTGGTTTATTGGAGTGAAAATAATACTACAATACTGCTGTTCTGAATCAAATACATTGAATCATGTGATTTGATCATAAACACGAATACCTTTTGCCAAAAAAACTCACTTATTCAGATCTTTTAATTTAACATCTCAGAGCTTCAGGAAAATGAGTTGCAAAGCAAATTGGATTGGGCAGGATGGACGAAAGAATGCAATTAACTTGCCTTTATATAGCACCTTTTACAACCTCAGATTTTCCCAAACTCAAAATAATGAAGCACTTTTAATTGGGTGTATCGTCAGTTGTGTAGGAAATGTGGCAGCCACTTGTGCTCAGCGCCTACAACCAGCGATAATGATGGTGTCAGTGATATGATGACAATGATGTTTCATCAGGAGGCAAGCAGCTACCATAGGCCAGTGAGGCTTGTTGGCTGACTCCAAGCCATGCAGGATAGAGGGCTTAGATAAGCTGAGGTAATGTCAAGCAAAAAAATCCATTGGATTAAAGCAGAATGTATATGTTCATCAATAAAGCATAAGCTAGACTGAGCTAACATATGCTCGGATTGTCTCACAAACACTGACTGCAGGCTGTTTGTAATGTAATGTAGCATGGCAGTGAGATACAGAGCCCACTCTCTTGAGCTTCCCAAAACTCTAGGTGTTTAACTGTGATGTTTTGTCATAGTCTGTATTTGCCCAGCTGACAACTTACCCAGAATACCTCATTAGAACAGCAATGCCTCTTCCTTGTGTTTTAATGACTCTCGTCCAACATGAGGACTGTTCCAGAGAGGTGTTCAGAAAGCAGAGCTGACCATAAATGTTCCATAGGTTTGTTCTTTTAATTTTTCAGTCGCCTCAAGAATCCGAGGCCCTACCAGCTGCCGCACTGAGGCAGACAAACAGCATAGGCTTGTTCCAGCCTGGGCCCTGGCTTGGGTATTCTCTGACTAGAGACGAGAGATAATGAGCCCAGGCTTTTGTTCGTTAGCCAGCCCCTTCTGGCGAGAGTGGGATGGGCCTGGACTCCGAAACTCTCTGCAGTTGATTACTACACTGGTTTCTACTGGTTAGACTCATGAGAGATTTGATTACTTTTGGGTTCTGAAGGACAGTTTGCAGAACTTAATCCCAGTAAAAGATAAGGAAATATCAATTAACATTTCATTAATCTCTAGGATCGTGAATTTAAAACACTGGACATTGGATGTGTAGGTAATAAACTGTTGAGAGATTATTAATGAAGGCACAGTTTACTCTTTTAAAGCTTCTGCAAATATACATAACTATAAATTGTATTTTTTGCACAGATCTACAGTTGAAATTGATCATTTATTTTTAATAAGAATATTCAGGTTATCAATCTAAGGCACTTTAAGATGTAATTACAGAACTCTCACCTTGCTGTTTCAGAGGACTGTATTGCTTTCAAAATAGGCTGAAATATTGTACAATTAATCTCTTTAATTCCTTTTTTCTTTTAAGCTCTTTGCTTGTAATGCTGTATATACTTGGAGTGTCTGCTGCTCTGTCCCTGCAGAAGTTACTGAAATTTTATTTGAAACCTTTGACATTAATAATGTTGAAAATATATAACGTTTCACGGTTCTATTCCTGTATATTTCCTTCGTTTTGCTGTCTCACACAATAGATAAACTGGAGATTTCCATGTTGCAAGATCTTGGGAGCAGGTGTTGGTTATTCAGCCTTTTAAAGGAGCAGGAGGAATTAATTGCCCCTAGTGGCCTGGTTCTAATGTTAAGGTTTGCCCTTTTATTCAGAGCTCTCCACCAGATGGAAATGTTGAATGTAGTGTGTGTTGCACAATCCATGCTTTTATGCTCCCTCCTAACTCTGCAAATTGAAAGACAACTTCAACATTTCTTGAACACTCTGATCTTCTTAAAGCATTTACTTCTAAAGAACTAATAGAATGTCTGCTGCCACTACCAAGGTGTGCTCAGTTCATGTGCAAAATGTACATGTACTGTCGTTGCCAGTGATGTCATGCCATCTTGGTCACTCATTGGGTGCTACCATATTTTTTTCTGGCAGTGTTTCACAAAGTGAGCATGTGCAGAACTTTCTGCACTTGCAATGTGATCATTTTCGGGATGTCAGGAGACACAGGCCAGAACTAAAGTCCAAAATATAACCCCTGACCTGTACAAGATCATTACCAAATTGAGATGGCATCAGTAAGTTATATCTCAGCTCCCTGGCTGATATTTGACAGTTTACAAGCTTGGTGACAAATGTTAACTTGGACAATGTGGGCTTAACCTTTTTAAAAAGTGACAGACGAGACGATTGGAGTAAACAGCTGGTCCTGGCGTAGATAACCATTTATAGACGTTCTTGCGGCATTCTTTGTAATGACAGTGGTTGTGGGGACTAGTGACAAATGGAATCCCAGGGTGTGGTTTTTGAGGGTTTTTTCACTGAAATGTCTAAGGTGTGTTTCTGATCACCTGTTTATATTGTCACTAAGGCAACTTTTATTTCCAGTTCTGTAGCATTGCCCACCCCCAACCCTTCACCCCCACATCAGCCTATCTGCTGCTGACAATCCTATCCATTCCATTAGAAGAGTGGATGTGGAGATAACAAGATCCTCCTGATGTTCTACCCTCTAAACTTGAAACTGTGCTGACTGGGTCTGAATTCCCCATCACGTTTGTGCTTGCTGACCCATGGCTCCTGGCCAAGTCTTGTTTTTAAAACGCTCATCCTTGATTTCAAATCCCCCTTTTGCCTCACTCTTCCCTTTCCAATATAGTTGCCCTCATCTAATTCTGGTTTCTCGAACTCTCAATTTTATTGCTGCACCTTGTTTTCCTCTTTAAGACACTCCCGGTAAATAACTTACTAGCATTTTGACTGACCTAATATCATCTTTATTCAAAATGGGAGGCAGCTGGAAAACAGGTCAGTGAGCTTAGTAACTCTCCAAGAAAATGTTCAAAACTATTATTAAAGAGAAGTTATAGCAGGGCATTTGGATAAGTTCGCGTTAAATCAGACAGTCAACATCATTTTTGTGAAAGGGAAATTTTGTTTAACCAAGCTGCCAGGAGTTATGAGGATGTAATAATGTGCTGACACTGAAGGGGAGTGAGTAGATGAACTGTACTTAGATTTCTAGAAGGCATTTAATAAGGTGCCAGGTGAAAGATTATTGTGGAGAAGAAAAGCACATGGTGTAGGGGTGTAGCCTGTTGGCATGGATACAAGATTTGTTCTGAGAAAGGGTCACCGGACACAACGTTAACTCTGATTTCGCTTCACAGATGCTGCCAGACCTGCTGAGCTTTTTCAGCAACTTCTGTTTTTGTTTCTGATTTACAGCACCTGCAGTCTTATATGATACAAGATTGGCTGGCTAACAGGAAACAGTGGGCATAAATAGGTATTTTTCAGGTTGGCAAGATGTAACAAGTGGTGTCACAGGGATCCCAACTTTACAATTTAAATTGATTTACTTGGATGAGGAAATAGGAAGGTATTGAAGCATCTTTGCTGATGCCATGAAGATAGGTAGGAAAGTGAGCTGTGAAGAGGATTTAAAAGCACTGTAAAGGATTATAGATAAGTGGCAAAGATCTGGCAAATGGAGTATAATGTGGAAAAATGTGAAATTATCCATTTTGGCATCAAGAATAAAGAAGAATATGAACTAAATAGCCCATGGATGCAAAGGGATCTGAATGCTGCAATGTATGATTCACAAAATGCTAGTGTGCAGGTACAGCAAGTAATTAGGAAAGTGAATGTATTTGTTTATTGTGAGGGGAATTGAATGCAAAAGTAGCAGAGTATCCTTCAGTTGTACAGGGCATTGGTAACACCATGTCAGGTCCACAGTATTACCTTATTTACACAAGGATATAAATGCATTTGAATCAGTTTGGAGCCAGTTTACTGGACCACCCCCTAGAATTCTTTTTTTTCTATTCATTTGTGGGATGTGGGCGTTGCTGGTTGGCCAGCATTTATTACCCGCCCCTAGTTGCCCTTGAGAAGGTGGTGGTGAGGAATTGATAGGTTGTCTTATGAGGGAGGGATGGACAGGGTCTGGTTGTATCTGCTTGAGTTTAGAAGTATAAATGCTGATTTGATTGAAATATGCAAGATCTTAAGAGGTTATGTCAGGTGCAAGATTGCAGATGTTTTGTTTGAAAATGGAAGTTGGAACAGTTTTGTTTTTAGAACTTGAACGCAAAGTAGAACTATGGGGTTCTCTTGCCGAAACTGAATTTGGTACAGTACATCCCGAGACACACAGGCACCAGGTCTCTTTGAAAAAGAAAAAAAGTAACTAGTCAGCAATGGCTTGTGGTTTCAAACCTCCAAACGCCTTCTCTCTCAATCGCCTCCCGTCTGAGTGGAAAGAAATTGACATTCAAAAAATGCCAAAAGCAATGGTTAACTCAAGCCAAGACCTAGGTCTAAGTAATCATTTAAGAAATTGAGGATGCCACGTGATAATATCACCAAAACTCAAAAAGGGACTGTTGGAAAGTTTCTTCATTTTCCCTCTTAGTTTGAACTTTGGTTCACAAACTTTGTCTTTTTGTCTATATTTTACATCCTTGATATTTTTTAAAAAAAAAGCTTGTCTCCTCTATCCTATTTGTGAAGGAATGTGTGTTTGTTTTTGGGTTTATTGGGGATATAGTTTGTTTGCATATTATTATCATTGGCATATGTTAGCGAATATGATTATTATAGTAAATGTTTTTTCCCTTCATCGATGAAACCTGGTGTGAATTTCTTTTATCTTTTGAGAATGGTCACAGTCAGGCATTAAACATCCTTGAGCATAAATTGGCCATATTTCACACGGGACAATTCCTGACTCATGGGTCTTGATTTCTGGCACACTATTCCCAGTGGAGTTGTGACAAAATCGTAGGATCATGTTGAGGGATCTTTTAAACACGGACAGGGTGAGATTGGACACTGAGTGAGATTAATTGTAATGTAAAAAATAGACAGCTTTCTTGTGCTGTAAAATAAGATGCCATTGGAAGTATTTTAAAACAAACCTGCAGCAAGAGGAAATGGACCTGACATTTTGTAAAAAAACAAACATCGATGAAGGCTAAGGCTACAGCTACAGAATTGGCAATTGAGTTAAAAGTGGAATATTTTTGCCAAGCTAAGAAGGTAGAGATAATTAAAATATTATCATAGCATTTGGGACTGGTGGAAATACAAGAAAGAGCAGATACTTCAAGCAGTAAATCATAAGATGGAGGTATGATTGAGTTATTGTAAAACCATTTCATTATGAGGAAGAAAATAGGTAACATCTGACAACGAAGGAAAAAGTATTGAAATTGCAAAGGATGGAAATGAAAAGTTTTAAACTTCAGAGAGAGGAGAGAGATTAAAGGGGAATTTAAGAAGTTGGAACTTGAATTGCCAAGTAAAAGGGCAGAGAGATGCAAGAGAGAAGGTAAAGGAGAAACACTGATTTAGGAGGCTGCTGGAAGGATCTGATGACGAAAGCCCAAGCCATAATCTAAAGTCCAGGAAGGAAATGTTTAAATTTGTACAGGCCCTACCAAAAGGAAAATGATGTGGAGTCATTGTTTTGCTAAGTTTTCAAATGACAAAGAATGAAAAGGCCAAAGGAAAACTGGGCAATGCCCATGTAGAGCAAGTTAACAGCTACGCCACATGAAGTTTATGCATCGCTCATCAGAGAAGGTTTCTATGGATTATGACATGTTTTTAACAAAAGGCTATCCTAGGTTTATAGGTGTTAATTCCTGAAGCATACAGACAAAAGTGAAAATTTAAGGGAATGGCCTTGGCAAACCTACACTGAATTTGGAAGGGTAAAACAAAGTTACTTTACTTGTGGATAGAAGCATTTAAAAGTAAATTCTGTATATGAAGCTCTCAGAAGAATTTAAAAAACTCCCTACATCTAGTAATTAGAACCCACATTGAAAACCAGTGTTGTAACTACTAGACAGACAACAGGAATTACTGAAGCTTCTGAGCTGATCCACAAAACCAAACCATTCAGTGTCGCCCCCTGAATGCAAGAACAATAGAAGGTGAGAGTCCGAGAGGAAGTCAAGTACTCCAAGTAAAGAAGGAACATCTGGGAGTCAGCATTCCCTCTAATTTTCTCTCCGGCTGTGCAGATCTCCAAGGCCTGTGCGTGGCCAAGGCTTCCTGAAGCAAAGTCAATGCTGAGATTGGCACTGAGCGCTGTACACAGCATTAGAGTGGCACTGCAGTTTAGAGGGAATGTTGCTGGGAATGCCAGGTCACCCATTCCACAGACCAGATATTGAGGTACTGAGTGCGGTGGTGAGAGCTGTAGATCTGTGTTTCCACTGTCACAAAATGAAACACCACTGTTCTGAATGCAGGAAGTTACATGGGAAGCCCAAAGGTTCATAAGAGTGAGTTTGAAAAAGAATTTTAAAAATCCACATTGAATTGCACCTTAAACTACAACAATTAGATCAAAATAACCATGCAGTGATCACAGGAAAGGTGAATAAGGCAATTGAGAGATGTAAGGGGTTTTGTAGAGTCTTAGACATGTACAGCATGGAAACAGACCCTTCGGTTCAACTTGTCCATGTGGACCAAATATCCTAAATTAATCTGGTCCCATTTGGCCCATATCCCTCTAAACCCTTCCTATTCATATACTCATCCAGATACCTTTTAAAAGTTGTAATTGTACTAGCCTAAGGGGCAAGTTTTTCACACAGAGGGTGGTGCGTGTATGGAATGAGCTGCCTGAGGAAGTGGTGGAGGCTGGTACGATTACTATATTTAAAAAGCATCTCGATGGGTATATGAATAGGAAGGAGGGGCTAAATGCTGGCAAATGGGACTAAATTAATTTAGCATAACTGGTTGTTATGGACAAGTTGGACCGAAGGGTCCGTTTCCATGCTGTACAGCTCTATGACTCTATGAATATCTGGATTGAATCTATCTCCATCACATACTCAGGCAGCACATTCCTAATCCTAACCCTTTGATGCATTGAAAGCTTTTTACCTCGTGTGGCCTATAGATTCCGTTGCTAATTATCTCCACAGTGTGTCACTGACTCGCAATCCTTCCACAAGTGGGAACAGTGCCTCCCTCCCTGCTTAATCAGTCTAGAACCCCACTTCGGTGCTTCAAACAGCTCAATCAAATCTCCTCTTGGCCATCTCTTTTCCAGGAAGCCAGCATCTCCAATCTCATACAGTCAGATGGAAGCCACTTGGCCCATCAATTCCATGTTGACTCCCAGAGCATAATCTAGTCAGACCCATTCACCTGTTTGATCCAGTAGCTCTGAAAATTCATTTCATTCATTCATTCATTCACCCTCTCTGCTTCCTTCAAAGAAAGCGTTGACTTCCAGGCCATTCTAACTCATTGTGTAACAACGTTTTCCTCGTGTCCATTTATATCTTTTACCCGTAGCCTTGTGTCACATCCCTTTGACCTTACACTACATGGTAACAGCTGATTTGGTACCAAGTGAACATTAATAACTAGCAATGAAATTCTTCATCCTGGAACCACTGATGGTGATCATGAAAATGTCATCAATTGTTGTGAACTAATGTCCTTCAGAGAGGAAATCTGCTGTCCTCACCAGGTCTGGCCTACATGTGACTTCAGACAGAATGTGAGTGACTCTAAACTAATGCTTGAAATGGTCCAGCAAGCTGCTCAGTTCAAAGACAGTTAGGGATTGCAACAAATGCTGGCCTTACCAACGACACCCACATCCCATTAAAAGTTATGTTAAAAATTCTTGTAACTTCTTTCTGTGCCCTCTCCAAAACCTTCACAACTTTTTTGAATGGTGATACCCAGAATTTGCTAAATAGTCCATTTGAGGCCGAACAAGTGTTTTATAAATTATGAGATTTTTTAAAAATTGGAACACAATTCAGATAAAAACCTTCAGGAGGTTGCAGGAATGAGGCATAAACATAATTCAAATCTGTCAGCACAGCATTTAACTGCATTTTGACAGAAACAAATGTTTCTCTTTACTGACTTGTCAGGGAGATTATTCTAAAACATTTCTCACTTTTTAAGTAAAGACATTCTTTCTGACAACCTGTCTTAAAGCTACTTTTCCATATTTTAAATGTTCTGTGGTTTCCCAGCCAGAATTAATAATAACCCATCCCATGTTTAAAAGACCTAAATCTTCTAATCTCAACCGATAGGTCTTGACTGCAAAAACCAACTTCTTTTTGGTTAAAAACAAAGGCACATCTGGGTCACTAGCACATTGCTGATTGTGTGATTTTACTGTGTGTACATTGGCTGCTATGTTTCCTACAAACTTGACTCCATTTCAAATGTATTCGTTGATTATGATCCATTTTTGGGACATCAGGCTGTTTTATAAGACCCAATAGAAATACAATTCTCTTTCTCTAGTTTATAACACTCCTGTCACAAGGGGGCCCCAGAGAGTTGCACAAATGGCACTGTGAAAATTAAATTCCCTTTACAATGTTTGGAGGTGCGCATGTTGTCATTTATTCAAAATTTATGGGTTACATAAAATGTTAAAAGATTTGGTTATTAATAACTAGTCGAATTTAAAGGTTATTGCATCTTTTAATTGTGCAACGTTTCAAATGTTTGAACAGAGTGGTGTGATTTTGTTGTATCCTACATGTTGCAAAGTAGAAGTGACATTCTCACACGCTAAAGTGGCAGAAAGTGCTCTGAGCAGAGATTTCAGGAGGACAGAGTCAGAACAATGTGATTCCTGACTCACCAAACGCTTTGAGGCTAAACAGCAGAGACAGAATCCACAGCCAAAGTGCAGCTGCCAACAATTAGATTTAAAGTGATATTCCTCCAATCTTAGCCAAGGCAGGCGTATCATTTAACCTGTATCAGTTCCCAGAACAGGAACCAGTCTCCCCACTCAGTCATTTCCACTGGGGGGTAATGGCCCTATTGGCATTCACCCTGGACAGTTTTGTTAATTCGGCATTAGCCAAATCTGGCAGACAACTATAGCATATTATTCCTGAAGAGCTCAGAATTAATTGTTAGGTAATTGTTAAGTGAATATATATTCCAGGATGCCACATTCACTGCCACACTGTAACCATGTACTGAACATCAGGAATGGCCACATCTTTATTTCTTTGTTCTTAGGATGCGGGCATTGTTGCTTGGGCCCAGCATTTACTGCCCGTCCCTAGTTGCCCTTGAGAAGGTGGTGGTGAGCTGCCTTCTTGAACCACTGCAGTCCATGCACTGTGGATTGACCCACAATGCCCTTGGGGAAGAAATTCCAGGAATTTGACCCAGAGACACTAAAGGAACGGTAATATATTTCCAAGTCAGATTGGTGGTGCCTTGGAAGGGAACTTGCAGGGGGGGGGGGGGGGGGGGGGGGGGGGTGGTTGGTGGTGTTCCCATGTACCTGCTGCCCCATGTCCTTCTAGATGGAAGTGATTGTAAGTTTGGAAAGTGCTGTCTGAGGATCTTTGCTGAATTTCTGCAGAGATGGTGATACCAGAAAGAAATCTCTGTGCATTGTGGAGATTGATGTGCAGCTAAACAGACATCCTGTATTTGTTACTGTGGAAGCTGAAAGCTGCTTCTGGGAATGTGTTTTGTGGAGTCTGTGATAGGATGTAATTCATTTCTGAATGTTTTTGCTTTGTTAAATATCTCAGTATCTAGTCAGCTGGTGAGAAATTTCAGTGATAACATTTCTGATTTCTAGAAAGG